GGTGAGCTGCCTTCTTGAACCGCTGCAGTCCATGTGCTGTAGGTAAAGCCACAATGCCCCTTAGGGAGGGGTTCCAGGATTTTGACCCACTGGCCATTAAGAAACAGCCATAGATTTTGAAGTCAAAATGGTTAGTGGCTTGGAGGGAAACTTACATGGGGTGGTGTTTCCATGTATCTGCTGCCCTTGTCCTTCTCGGTGGAAGTGGTCGTGGGTTTGGAAGTGCTGTCTGAGGATCTCCAGTGAATTTCTGCAGTGCATCTTGTAGATGGTACAAATTGCTAATACTGAATATCGGTGGTGGAGGGAGTGGATGCTTGTGGATGTGGTACCAATCAGGTGGGGGCTGCTTTATCCTGGACGGTGTTGAGCTTCTGGAGTGTTGTTGGAGCTGCCCCCATCCAGGCAAGTGGGGAGTATTCCATCACACTCCTGACTTGTGGCTTGTAGATGGTGGACAGGCTTTGGGGAGTCAGGAGGGGGGTTACTCCCAGGAGTATTCCTAGCCTCTGACCTGCTCTTGTAGCCACTGTGTTTATGTGGTGAGTCCGGTGGAGTTTCTGGTCAATGGTAACCCCCAGAATGTTGATAGTGGGGGATTCATTGATTGTAACACCATTGAACGTCAAGGGGCAATGGTTAGATTGTCTCTTATTGGAGATGGTCATAGCCTGGCATTTGTGTGGTGCGAATGTTACTTGCCACTTGTCAGCCCAAGCCTGGATATTGTACAGATCTTGTTGCATTTGATCATGGACTGCATCAGTATCTGAGGAGACGCTAATGGTGCTGAACATTGTGCAATCATTGGCGAACATCCCCACTTCTGACCTTATGATGGAGGGATGATAACAACATTTTAAAAAATGGAACAGGAGTAGGAGACCATTTGGCCCACATGTGCCATTCAATAAGATGATGCTGTGGTCTAGGCTACACTTTCCTGCCTGCCCCGCCCATTATTTTAAAAAAAACTCAATGATCCGGCCTCCTCTGCTCTCCAGGGAAGAGAATTCCAAAACTAATGACCCTCAAGGAGAGGAAATTCCTACTCATTGCCGTCTTAGCTAGGAATGGAAATAATTTGACGGGAGGTCCTGCAGTATCTCATCTGTACAGACCACGGTTTTTCATGTTGTGAAGCTGCTTCTCATTCCAGTCCATGGGGAGGCTTTTGTCAAAATGTGTGATGTTCAGCCTGCACCTTGCAAGCTGAGGATAAATGTTGTGGCTCCTACCTATCACCCTCAACATCTTCGTGATCTGACAAAGTTGGTGAACGGTAGTGTTGTCAAATGTAGATAGGACTGACAGTTCACCAAGGTAGTAGCCACTTGTGTGACTCTGAATACAGCTAATTCCCTAAAGCTGCACAAGAAGGTCAAAAACATTCAAGGACCCGACAGAGAACGGGAGATTGGAGATGGGAGTGGTAGCTTGCAGAGAGGCGTCAAAGATTATTTAGTAGATAGAGGTATGGAGAAAACGTATGAGAGGAGTGTTGTATATGGGGAGCGTTGGCAAGGGGAAGATGAAAAAAGAGCAGCCATTTACAATGTCAGCTGGCATGGGCACCAGGGCGGGATGTTGGGTGATCGTTCTGGAGAGAATAGGGTAAAGGGAGCAGGGAGGTGAGTCTCACGCTCAAGCTGTGATCTGACAGTGTGTGAGGAGAGCGATCAAAATTAACCTCTTGTTAACTTCACCCAAATGCCAGGTTTAACTTGCTGTAAAATTATTGGTTTTCCAACTAACCTCCACCATTGTATAATTATGCATGTATTTTTCATGAAAACCTTACTAAGTGTTTTTCAGACCGTCTGTGAAGACGTTTTGGATCGGGAGGAGTCCCGAGAGCAACAATAACCATGGGTGAATTGTCGCTTCATTTATTTCATTGCTGCTTATGGGATCTTGCTGTGCGCAAATCGGCTTCCTAGGTTACAACAGTGGCAACACTTCAAAGGTCCTTCACTGGCTTCAAAGGGCTTTGGCACATCCCAAAGGGGCGCAAGTCGCTATGCAAATGCAAGTCTTTCCTTTATTATTACGTTTCTCTTTGCCAATGGACACTGTTTTGCTGACTTTATCAAGGGGAGGATAAGTATGGTCTGAGGATTTTCAAATTGTAGCCTGTTGTTCAGTCAATCCCTGAAATGTTGCTGCTCTGTGTCTTGCTAATTATCAGTGATTAATGGCCCAATGCTATTCTTTCCTTCACATTCGCTTTCTGCAATGACTGGGTTGTTGTGGCATGGTGGTAGTATCACTTACCTCTGAATAACTGAGCCTCAGGTTCAAAACCCCACCTACACCAGAAGTATGTGTGAGGGGGGTAAAAAATCCATACTGCAACATTTCTAAAAATGGTCCGCAGAACACAGTTGTCAGTTAGCACAACTAAATACTCACTAGCATTCCATAGTGTGAAATTAGAAAATAATAACTTTTTTATTCTTTCATGGGGTATGGGTGTCCCTTGCAAGACCAACATTTGTTGCCCATCCCCAGTTGCCCCTTGAACTGAGTGGCTTGCCAGTTTCAAAGCTTAAGTGTCAACCACATTGCTGTGGGTCTGGAGTCACATGTAGGCCAGACCAGGTAAGGATGGCAGATTTCCTCCCCTGAAGTGAACCAGATGGCTTTTTACAATCATCAATGATAATTGTCACAGTCACCATCATAGAGACTCATTTTTATATTAATTGAATTTAAATTCCACCAGGGGCTGTGGTGAGATTTGAAATCATGCTCCCCAGAGCATCCACCTGGTCCTCTGGATCACCGTCCGGTGATATTACTCCAATCAAAAAAATGCAAGCCCCTGAATTTCAAAATAAAATTTTATCAAGGAGGCACTGACGTCAACTGTAAACTAAGCCAGGATAAAAAATGTCAGGGTGCATTGATACTTCTTTCATTGTAAAAATAATTTGATTTGGAATAACTTCAGGTCCTCGAACCAAATTAGCCTTTAAATAGCTTGTGAGCTGGTACCAGACAATGATCGCAAAAGATTGTGCATTGCTGTAAAAAGTAGCAACGAGCTTTGGAAGAATATTTGTTCAAGTCAGGGAAGGGAGGGAATCTCAGCCAAGCCGATGTCTGCGTTCACCCACTTCTGTCTATGCATACACTTACTGTGAGGGACTGAGACCCTGAGCCAGTTACTTAGAAAATCAATCAGTTTAGGCCTTTGAGTGGAATATTTTTGCAATTAGTGAGCCCTGTCTTGCTGCATTACAACACTGAGGTAAAGCAGAAAACATAGTCTTAAGACAAAGATAGATGGATTGCTGATTCAAAAGGGGATCAAGGGTTACAGGGAGAAGGTAGGAGAATGGGATTGAGAAACAGATTGGCCATCAAATAGAGGAGCAGACTCAATGGGCTGAATGGCCTAAATCCAGTCCTATATCTCATGGTCTTATAGTAAAAATAATAGGAACAGGAGTAGGCCATTTGGCCCTTAAAAGTTACTCCTCCATTCAATATGATCATCTAACTCAGTTTCCTGTTTTGGCTTTCTCCCCCTATCCTTTGATCCCTTTTGTCCTAAGAAGGATATCTATAGAAAATATAGGGAAATGTAGGTAGAGTAAATAAATTGAATGTCATGACTTTCCCTGCCCTTAGCTGAGCTCAATTTGGGCCCCTCCTTGCCTTAATTGTTCAGTTCCTTGTGGGGTAGTTGGTTGGCCACTGAAAATTGTGAGAACAAGACATCTCCATCTCGAAATAGCACTCAAATCTGAAAGCATACGTTCTTGTGCCTGATCGATAGTACCCAAAGAGTTTTACATTCAGGATAAAGCAAATACCTGGTAACATTCAACTCTGACAATCCGGCAACTGGATAACCTAGCAGTTCCAATTGAATGCACTGCTCTTTGAAGCTCTCAGTCACTATGTATTTTGTTGCCTTTCAGGCCTGTGGAAAATGCATTGGACACCGGAGCATGCTCAGAAGCCAGAGCATTACCCCGACATCTCATTTACATCCTCCTCTCCAGCACCCAAACCAGACGATAGCAATCTCACCCAGCAACGCCACCAGCATGTATGGGCGAACGACAACATTTCTGCACTGTCTGCTTCTAATCTGCTCAAGAAGTTTGCAGAGAAATACTCTGGGCTTGTGAACTCTTCATGTGAGAGACCTGAGCTAAATACTTATGCGGACGGGTCTTTTGGGCCAGTTCATGAGCAAAAGAATGAAAATGATACCTGGCAAATGTCACTGAGTGTAAATGATACATATTCTATAAACTCAGTCCATGAGGGCCTTTCTAGCAGTAAAACAGGAACTCATTCCACTGTCCCAGCAGGCGATAGCAGTGTAGGGATAGGCAGTTCCTCTGTAATAGCCAATAGTCACTCTGAATCTCGCTATCCAAATCATGTATGTGGTCCCACCACTCTCCCGAGTCTTCAGTCTAGCCTTGTCCCGGTTGGAACGTCTCCAGAATTTTCATCAGGTTACAATGGTACTTACTTACCCTCAGGTTACTGCAGCCAAACATCATTGGCAGCCCCTTCCTCTTATTCTTTACCTTTAAGTAGCTCGAGCCTTCTACAGCCAGTGCATCCCACACTTACAGTCCCATCTTACAGTTCAACTTTAGCTGGAGGAAGCCCACTGCACACGTACCCTTCAAATAGTGACCCGTGCGAATCAAGCATGGGCCCCGGTTATGCTGGGGCCCATCTCCCATCTTCGTACGTCCCCTCGGGCATTCCAGCTCCTATTCTTCGTCCCCCTACGGCCCGACCTTCCACTGTCTCTGGCTACGATAACCAAAGGCACAATGTGACTCCTGGCTCAGTGTCGCCTGTCAACAATGGCTTGAGCGGTTCTTTGAAGAGAAAAGCCTCAGCAGCGAAGGAGCTGGAGAATACTGGTAGATACAGAAGGTACAATTATGGACAACAAAGGACTATTTCGGGGGCTTACCAGTTGCCAGCTGATGTTGGTCCTGATGATTGCAAAGGTGATGGCTTCGGCAGAAACGATGAGGCGTTGCCTGTCGAGTCGAAGAGGAAACAAGGTCTTGTGGATGATCTTATTGGCAAATACAGTGGCCAGGAAAGGAAAGGAGTGATGCCTCCACTCTACAGCCGTGACGAACGTCTGCTGCAATCAAGACCGACGGAGGCGCTTGTGCAGTTCAGCCCTACGTTAATAAATCGGGAAATGGTAGATGACCGTCGCCTCACATTTAGTCACCAGCTGCAGAGGGGAGCAGTTGAAGAACCTGGATTCTCAGCTTTTAAACCTTGTGACAAATGAAATAGTTGACTGTGGTCCTCCAGTACAATGGGGCGATATTGCTGGACTGGACAGTGCGAAAGCAGTGATTGAGGAGCACGTGTTGTGGCCCCTGCTGAGGCCTGGGGCTTACAGCGGAGGAAGCGGACCACCCAAAAGCATTTTGCTGTTCGGACCTCGTGGTGGGCGTAAAACAATGCTCACAAGGTGTATCGCCTCCTGCCTCGGGGCAGCCTTCCTAAAGGTCAGTGGGTCATCTTTCATCTCCAAATGGAAGGGAGATGGAGAGATGATCTTGCAGGCTATGTTTCTCATAGCCCGATCCTGTCAACCGTCTGTTATCTTCATAAATGAACTCGATGCCATGCTCTCTAACACTAGCGGTGAAGAGAGTAACCATCTAAGCTCTATTAAAGCCAAACTATTGTCTCATGTAGAAGGTGTGGTGAACTCGAGCAGTGACCATATCATAGTCATCGGAGGTACCAGGCCTCCGGATGACATAGAGGAGACCATACACAGGTACTTTGTAAAGCGACTTGACATCTCTCCACCCGGCAGCATTGCAAGACGTCAGATTTTAATATATGGCTTGTCTCAACAAGACCACTGCCTGAGCGATGGGGAAATTAGCACCATTGTTGAGCACACAGAGGGGTATTCTGGGAGTGATCTGATACAGCTCTGTCAACAGGCAGCGTTAGGACAGGGGCACAGTCTTACAGCACCATCACAGCCTACCACCTATGGGGACTTTGAAAACGCTCTTTGCAAAGTTCAGTCCAGTGTCTCGCAAAAGGAGCTGAAGTTGTACTCAGAGTGCAGCAGGTTATTCGGAACTGGCGCCTGACCGTGACGTTTGTGAGGCCCGGGTGGAATGGCAGGGGATGGGGGTGGAGGAAAGCCAGGAAGGAGAAGCAAAGGAAGAAGCTGGTCTGCGGCACCAAGTGAACGGCAGCACGATTGGGATTGGCGGCACCAGTTTGGATGCCCAGGATGCTGCTTGGGCACCATAATGAGTTGAACTGTTCAGATGCCATCTTGATAAAGGACAAACCAGGGGCATCCTTTACCCAAATCTGAAGCAGATGTTAGTCAATTTGCATAAACAAATGAGGTGTCTTCTGCCTGCTTCTGGTCCCTGCTATAATTTCGCTTTTCCGTGAGGTAGTGAGTGTCTGAGCTGATGACCTCTGGGGAAACCAGTGCTAAACATCACACGTGTGAAAACAAACAAATCTCCATCGCTAAGTTCTCAGAGTTCACTCCTAACTTCAACCTCCAAACCCTTCCAACCATGATCTCCTCCTGACCTGGCCTGCTGGCTCTCCACCCAACAGCAGTCACTGACTCCTGCCTCCCTGAGACCCCTGTGATTCCCCCTGTTTAACTGCCTGGAATCCGGGGCATTAACCTGTGTTCAGGCTCTTACCACAGCCCTGTTGATGTTGTGATGAAGTCCCAGGCCCGAAATCCGGGGCTCCTCGAGCCTCTCCATTCGAGAGCGTTTCTTGTGAGACGTCTGTGAAGGGGCATGCTAATTTCCAAAATCCTCGCATTAATCTCAATGACATCTCCACAATAAGGTGGTGGAGAAATCCGCCGATGGTACTTCTGTAGGCAACAGTAATGTTGTGATGCTGGTAACTGTTTAAACCTTCGTGTATTCTGGTTTAATTTGGCTCAAATTAATCAAAACTAGATAGTTTTTTTAAAAAATGTGTTGCTGCTGGCTCACTCCAAAGATAGGTTATTTCACACCAGATGTTATGGTATTTATCCTCATTATGAAGATAACAGCACGCCCTATGGCTGTTTTTGTTCCACTGGGTGTAAAAAGCAGTCTGTTTTATCATCCTTAAATTTGCGCTGTTTTATTAAGAGTATTTCTTCAGCGACTGAAGACAGCTATGATTATTTACCTTCAGGGTATGTGATGAATTCTTTTGTGCCAGACTCAATCAAGCAGTTTTAGGTTAGCTGGTAATGAAACAGTTGTTACATTATGAAAGGCAAGAGCTTATGGTCCTGACTGAGCTGACAGTCTCACCAGGCTGGGGAATGGGAAATCAAGCAGATTTTCTGCTCTGGATGGCTAACCAGGACAGTGGATGGTGCTATGTGTGAATAATTGGCAAGTATAGAATAGGGTCCAGCAGCTATAATAGCTGCTATGAATGAGAAACATGAGAATCAGAAATCATTCAGTGGACTTGCAAATGAAACAAGTCCATTTTGGATGAGGAACCATGGGTCACCCTTGAAATTGCACATCGTCAAGGATCCCACAGACAAGTCTAATAACAGTATGGTGCAGGGCTGGATGAACACAGCAGGCCAAGCAGCATCATAGGAGCAGAGAGGCTGACGTTTCGGGCCTAGACCCTTCATCAGAAAAGGGGGAGGGGAAGGGGGTT